TTTAATCACTGGGGAGAAACCAGTTGATAGAGGGAGAAACTGAATATACTGAAAAAGAGGAGATAGCAAGTAATTGCAGAGACAGTGATGGGGACTGAGCCAAAGCCCAGTGGAGGATTGACTCTAGCAGGAGGGAGAAAGGAGAAAGAAGGCTGGGAGGGGTGTTGCTGGAGGCAGTTTAGGATGCAAAGTTGGAGGCAAGGCGCTGATGGAGGAAGGGGTGGTTTTGGTAGAGGAGTTTCTAGAAAAAGGTCTGAAATTGTCATTGAGAAAGAGTGGGGGAGCAAGTAAACTCCCAAGAAATGGAATGGGATTCACAGGCGCTGCTGGGCCACTTTGAGGTTGAAGAGCATGAAATTAGACAACTTATAGCAGCTCTCTTCTGAGATGGGACTGTGTTTGTTCAGCTCCCTGTGCTACCACCCTACAACCACTCATGTGGCACAGGACAAGATTATGTGTACATGGTTGTGACAAAGTCATGGGACAAAAAGGTGCTTTTCTTATTGAGAAGGTGGCTTTTTACAGAGAACAGTGTCATATGGTGAAGTTTTGACACAGCAGACCTATTTATGCCCTTGCATCAGATGTTGTTATGAGATTGAACAGGAAAATGGTGCAGTTAAATGTGGGTCTTTAAATAAATCCAGTTTTGACTATGCTGTCAGGTTTCTGTGAAACTCAACTGAACACCTGCTGTGCTCAGTGGGCCTGAAAGAAAAGATAAATGGGTAAGAAGACACAGTGGTTTCCTTAGAAGCTTTTGAACTCTCAGGGGAGAAAAAACCTACCTCCTATGCTTAGCCACAGGATGTGCTGGTGAGTTCAACCTGAACATTCCCAGATACTTAATGGGGCTTATCCTGAAATAATAGTGGGTGCCATTTATTAAATACTGTCTTAGGGCCTTCCATGTCTTATCTCACTTGATTTTTATGGCAACCTCGGGGGACCTGGACATCATGTTACTGTAGTTCTCTTAGGTTCAAAGAGTTTGAGTGCTCCAGCAGCCTGGACAGTAAGCAATAAATTAAAGGTTGAGTCCAGGTCTGTTTGCCAACAGATGAATGCTTTTCTCCTTCCTCCCTCCTTCCCTTCCTCCCTCCCTCCCTTCCTCCCTTTTTCCCTCCTTCCCTCCCTCCTTCCTTCCTTCATCTCTCTTGTGGTACTAGGAATTAAACCCAGGGCCCTGCGAATGCCCGGCAAACGCTCTTCCACTGAGTTACAAGCTGAGCCTCCAAAGCTTTCTTTACGCTCCAATTTTCCTTCTCAAGATTTGGATAGGTATTGGCAAAGGCAGGGTGCGTTGGGGATGTGTGTGTGTGTGAGTTTCCATCAATGACAGATCTAAAAATAGCCAGGGTGGGGTGGGTGGTTCTGATGGAACTCCTTTTATGTAGTATTTTGGTATCATGATTTGGAAGTAAAATGTAAACATGATTGGTATCATGAGATCTGTGGGTTTTTGATTTTGATCCAGCAGGCACATTTTAAGTCACTGATCTTTTTCAGAATTAGAAAAGAGCTGTGACTTGATATTAGACTCAGCTTGCCTTCTTATTACAAAGCTCTAGGTTACAAGTGGTTTTTAACATTTCAGAGCTGCTGTCAGTCTTCTTTTCCAGACAGAGAGAACCTGCTGCCAGCAGCTGTCTTCTGAACTGGGCCTGTGTGGTACACCCATCTGGTGTGTAGCCAGCTGGCCTGGGTTCCATTCAGCCAAGCAAAGAAGTGCCCACAAAATCCCTGCCTAGTATAAGGAAGAGCAGGAGAATGCAATTTCCTCCCGTCAAGGACCTTAGTTAAGGAGAAAAGACTCCACACCTACCTCCCACCCATCACACACACACACACACACACACACACACACACACACACTCACACACACACACACACACACACACACTCACACACACACACACACACACACACACACACACACACACACACTCACACACACACACACACACACCCGAACAGCAGTTTTCAGCATGGGGTTCTTTCCATGACTGTTGAATTCTAGAAGAGCATAATCAAAGCCTATAGCTTAGAAACCAGCTCTCTTTATCTGTCCCTATGGCTTCTTTTTAGCTTGGCCACCACCCATAACCAGCATTTACATTAGAATCTCACTCGACTTCAAAACCTTTATAATTCAGGGTGATTTACTAGGAAGTCTTGCTTCTCTGCTCATGAGGGATATAAGTTTGTGATTTTCCTTTCTTGTAATGTCTTTATCTGGTATTTGTTATCAGGATAATGGCTTCATGGAGTTAAGTTTTTCCTCCTCTCCAAATTTCTGAAGAAGTTTATATAGAATTGGCATGATTTCTCTTTTTAAGTGTTTGGTAGAATTTGCTCTTAAAGCCATCTGGGTCTAGATTTTTCTTTGTGGGATGATTATTAGGTATAAACTCAGTTCATTTAATAGATATAGGGCCAGTCATGCCATCTGTTTCTTCTTGACTGAGCTTTGGTTGTTTATATCTTTTAAGGAATTTGTCCATTTCTTCTAAGTTAATTTATTGGTATAAGTTGTTCCTAATACTCACTCATTGTCCTATTAATATCTGTAGAATCCATAGTGATGTCACATCCTTTGAGGTGATTCAAATAGTATTGAAATCACAGAACTGAAAAGGACTTTGGAGATCAACTAGCCATTCATTTATTCCAAAAGTTCTTATTGATCACTTAGTCTATGTCAGACATTGAGAGGTACTGAGCCTTAGCAACCCAGTAAGATGGACAGAAAAAGACATACTCCATCATTTCATTGTACAAATGAGAGAACTGAGGTCAGAGGAGAAACCTGCATAAATTGAATCGAGGTTAGTATCAGAGTCTGCATAGGCTGCATCCCTGCTAACGGTGGCCTAAGACTGTCTAGTGATACCTTCCAAATCCATTTTTTTCTCATTTCCATCTTACTTATCCATCTCAGTTATTTTCTAGTTCTCCTGTTATAAAATAGATTATAATGAAAGTAGATAGTTTTGTCCATTTTATTCAGTACCGACCCAAGGACTTACAGTAATGTCATTTGCATAGTGGGTGTGCAATAAATATGTATGAAGTATAATCTAGATAATATTCTACTCATTCAGTGGATTATCTCCAAACTTCCTCTATTTTTTTTTAAGTTTTTGAACTTTTTATTTGGAAATACTTCAAAACTTTCAGGAAAGTTACAAGACTATAAAAAATACAAAGAATGTATATATGTCCTTATCAAACTCACCTTGTAGCCTCAACAATTCTCTCTTCTCTCTGACTTCACTTTTTACCCATCTGAGAAATGATGTTTTCATCATTTCCTCAGAAATATTCCAGATGTGACATGCTACAACTCAGATAAAAAGCAACAACTTTACATGATACTTCCAAACTCTTCATCAAATGCTTTCTGTGACACCTCCTCCCAAGAGTGTGGGTATCCCTTCCCTCTGTGTGAGGCAGCATTTGAAGTATGGCCTCTGGAGCCAGGCAGATGCTCAAAGTCAGACTCCTGTACTTATAGGTTATATGACTTGGACATGTTATTTAGCATATGTAAGTCTATTTTTATAAAATAAGCATATTAATACTTACCTCCTATTGCTGTTATGGATATGAACTGATAGAATATATGAAAGCACTTAGTATGTAGTGAGCATCATTAAATGGTATGTGTCATTGTTAGCATTCATTGTGAAGGAGAGAGCTTTGTGTATCTGTCTTAGGGATTTCTGAGGACAGTGAAACCATAGATCCTAGGAAGGTCTCTGGGAGCCAAAAGATACTGCAACTGGCTTCCTGCTTTGCATACTAAAAGAATTGCTGGAGAGGGGCTGTGTCAGGGGAAGATTGCTTATTTACTTATGTATTTATTTATTTGTTTTTACAATACTAGGGATTGAACTTAGTGCCTTGCACTTGCTGGGCAAATGCTGTACCACTTGAGCCACAAACCCAGTTATTTTACTTTTAAATTGTTTTTCAGATAGGGTCTCATACTTTTATCTGGACTGGACTTGAACTGTGATCCTTCTGTCTATAATTCTTGAGCAGCTGGGATTATAAGTATGTTCCACTACACCTGACTCCAAGAGGAGATAATTTTTTAAATCTTAGTTATCATTTATCCTCCTGATGATGTACAAATTACCTGGCCTTAGCACTCCATATACACAGGGACATAGCTAAACAAAAGACACTGCTTTCAGTAACCAGGTATTTTGGGGTACATATGGGGTAGGATGAGGGTAGTGATTGCAGTCAGAATTCTGCCTTGGAAAGCATATATAGAATAGTATGGAGAAGGCCCTCTGTCTCTGGGCCTTCATGTCATCATCTCAATCATGTTTGTTTTATATGACCTTATTTGCCAGAAGCCTGCTCCACCTTTGGACTGTAGAATGGCAGGATCTCCTAAAGAAATATAATGCTTCCTTAACCCCCACCCCCACCCCATGGCTTCATAGGTGCTGGAAGGGATTTCCAGATGTCAGGTTTTGTTTTTGTTTATTACATTGGTTTTTGTTTTTCTAAGACAGAGACTTACTATGTATTCTAGGCTGGTCTCCAAATCACTATGTAGTTCAGGCTGGTCTTGAACTTGGGATCCTTTTGCCTCAGTCTCCTGAGTGCTGGGATACAAGTATGTACTACCACACCCAGCTTTCAGAGATCATTTTTATTATATGAGGCTCTCAACCCTTGCCCACCCCCTAAGGTGTGACTTCAAAGGACTAGGATACTATGCCATTTTCATTGTGCCCTCAAAGTCTGAATAGAACCCTTCCTTCTCTCTGGTTGATGACTTATGATCAATATTTTTTCAGGTAACATAGTTCAGACTGGCATTGTTACCTACCTCTCACTGAAGTTAAGTGCTGCACCACCTTGGCCTCACAGGGGCTCTGAGCCTAGGTGGTACCTAGTGATATGATGGTTATTACTGTGAACCAAATGTTTGCATGTAAATGTCCAACTGACAGCTCCTCTCTTTCTTCCTGCAGTTGGTCACCACAGAAGAGCGCTTCCTTAAAGACAGTTTGTATAACGAAGGAATCCTAATTGTGTGGGACCCATCTGTGTACCATTCAGATATCCCAAAGGTAAGTGAGTATCCGTCAGAAATAGAGGTCAAGTCCTCTATTTGCCTATAGATTTTCCTATGCTCCTTGGTTTGTAGAGTCATGGCTGAGCTGAACCATTCCTAGCTGTTTGAGTTTTGGGGCACTCCATTTCATCTTGACTAGCAGATTCAAAAGGGTTCCTGTCCATGCCCTGCCTTGCATTGCCATGGATGTATCTCCCAATTACAGCATGCATTGGGAGTAATAGTGGCTGGGGTAGAGAGTATTCATTAATGAAGTTATGCCTCCTGAACATCAGCGGGAATAGATGATGGTTACTGTTTCTCCTACCAATAGTGTTATGTACTTCTGTCTCATACATCTAGTTTCTAGAATTCTTCTCACTTCACTCTCATTAGTGTGTAAAGAAGTAGATGAAGCATGGTTGTTTCCCATATGGGGTGACCAGAGTGTGGATAGGGGAAGTCACCTGCCTCAGGACTCAACTTCCTAAGTAGAGGTCCCAGATCTGCAACATCAGCTATTTCAGGGAAGATGACATGAGCCACAGGCCAGCTGGATCCTCAGGCCCACGGGAAGAGTCCTCTCACTGTCTATTATGCACGTTGGTTGGCCTCTTCCTGACATGAGTTGCACTGGTCTCAGAAGAATGGCTTTAAAGAGAGAGGACAGACAACACTGCTCTTGGGACATTTAATTCTTAAGGTAGATCCACCAATAGCTAATAGGCTCTGTGTCATTCCTGACACCCTCACTATTTCTGTCTCTATAGTTTTGTACTTATCTCATTTAGAACTCAAAGTTACCTAAGTTGGGGAAGTATACTGAAATATATAGATGTAGAAACTTATGCTCCAGTTTTCTCCTCTTCAAAAATAAGAGTAGCCAGGTGTGGTGGTGTAAGCCGGTAGTCCCAGCTACTTAGGAGGCTGAGACAGGATTGCTTGAGCTCAGGAGCTTGAGGAAAGCTTGGACAACTTATCAAGACCCTGACTTAGTGAGAGACAGGGAGAGAGGAAGAGAGCCAGAGACAGAGAGAGAGACAGAGGCAGACAGAGAGACTGAGGAAGAAAAGAAAAGATGGGGATAGATGGTGCCTAGACCTCCTTTCAGCTCTAAAACCATTTTTAGATGCTGTCCTGAAGTCTGAAGCTGTGTCAGGGGCATCGAGTCCAACATTCCCCTAATCACAGAGTAGACGCTGGGCCCCACTGTACTGGTGAGAGCTGTGATGTGCGGCCGTTCCTAGGGAAGGGCTGCGCCTCAGGATCCTGCCCTGATCCCTTCCCTCCTGAGTCCTCTGTTGAGAGTGACTGCTTTATGAGGAGCACCAGCATAGGCACATTTCTCTCCTACAGCAGACTGTTTCCTTCTTTTTCAGTGGTACCAGAATCCCGACTACAATTTCTTTAAGAACTATAAAAGCTATCGCAAGCTGCATCCCAACCAGCCTTTTTACATCCTCAAGCCCCAGATGCCTTGGGAGCTATGGGACATTCTTCAGGAAATCTCCCCAGAGAAGATTCAGCCAAACCCCCCTTCCTCTGGGATGCTGGGTGAGTCCACGGCTGGGAGAAATTCTCGTGTGCTTTTTTTCTAGGGGTCTCATCCATTCATTCATTTTTTTGTTTGCAAGAAAATTACTAAGATTTTGCTCTGCTGTTAAACCCTGTCAAGTTCTATCTAAAATATGGAGATAAATAAAATATAATTATTCTCCTTTAAGATGTCTACTGTGAGAATTCAGACAGGTGTCTGAGGTGACATTCAGTTTGAGCCTGGTGTCTTCAGAGAGAAGACCACATCTACCTGAGCAGTCAGAGATAGCTACACGGAAGAAGTAGTGTTGAACTAACCCTTGGAGAGTGGAGGATTTGACAGGTGGAGATGGATAAAGAGAAGCACATAAGCAAGAAGAGGAGGGGGGGGAAACAGGAGGAGCAGGGCTGGACCTTGGATGGAGTGAGATTAACAATTTAGGGGATATCCCAAGACTCATTAATCATGACAAATAATGCCATATCTTTAAAAATCAAAACACCAAAAGTTATTATGGACAAAATATTACATATTTAAATAAAGACAGAATTAGTAACAGTGTTGTGCAGAGTTGTATAGAACTTGAGGCAAAGGAAAGGTCAGCAGTACCACTCTTGGCTCTATGTATTTACCCTAGTGGGTGCCTTAGTTGTAGTCCTGGGAGAAAAGTGGGCAGGCACACTTGCCTGGGTGTGGGGGTGTGTAGGAGCTGTAGGAACTAGCCTAGGATGGGCTAGGGAGGGTCCTGAATGCCGCACAAAGGCTCTCTTCTTAGTCTTTCTCTATATCTCTCAGACCTCGTGGTCCATTGGCCTTCCCCCTCTCTCTCTTTAGCTGGACCACTGAGCCATTTCCATGAAGCTGCAGGTTCTCTGTGTGCACAGCGATGGAAACTCTTTCCCTGGACTCTCACCAGATAGCCTCATCCACTCACTACTGTCTGCCTACTCCCCTTACTAGACTCCAGACTCTTTCAGGGTTGTATCTGTGTTTAACTTATCTTTGTGGGTCTGGCATGGTAAACACTTCCAGTGTAAATAAGTTTGTTATTAGAGGCACTCCTCATAGAGAGAGATTGTGGCTCTTGCAGTGGTACTGAAACTGGAGTTTTGGACCCCAGGCCACATGTCAGGTTTGACCAGTTGCTCCTATAAATAAAGAGACTGAAAAAGGAGGACTGAGAAAGGAGATTTATTACCCAGCCCAGGACACACCATGGGAAGAGGCAAAGTAAGCACTTAGCCCATTTTCAGCCATCTTCTTCAGACATAAGCTTCAGCTTTAAATAGACAAAGAATTAGTGCAGAGGACAAAAGATATGCATAGCTAAACAGCCCAGTCACAGGTGTGTCCTTGTTCTTCAGGGGTTTGGAGAGGTGTTCTATTCTAAGAAGGGTCTACTGTTGTTATGGTAGTTGCCATCCCTTGTCATAAAGATATCATCAGTCCTGTCCTTCCTGGAACTCAAGGTGATTTCAAAGTGACTGCAAAGAGAATGGCTTAGAGCAAAAACAAATACAAAACTGAGACATGGATGCCAAGCTTTTCTCCTGCTTTTAGTTTATTTGTGGGCCTAAGTGCCGAAGTAAGAAGTTCGTGCTTTTCAGCAAAAGCAATTTAAGCACCTCTTCGTATCTTTTGCTTCAGCTTTTGGACAGATGCACTTGAGGCTCTTCCTGGAACTTTTCCAACAGGAGCAGTTGGCATCCTGAGGAACATAGCTTCCTGCTGCTCCACCCTTGCCTTTTGCCTGTGCTGTTACTTCTACTACCAGTTCTCTTCTCTGTTCTCCCTTTGGCCACTGCCCTCCACCCCCTCACCAGTGCTCCCAGGAGCTTTTGGGTCTTCTGGGAGCAGTGCTCTCTTCTGTCATTCCAAGATGTGCTTCTACCATGCCTACATCAGTTAGATGCCAGAGCTGTCTTCTCTGAGCCAGGAGCAGCCAGAGCCCAGAACTGGGGCTTTCCCCATATCTGATTCTTCTGGAACAAAGCTGCTGTTAGCAGTTTGCAGTTTTGCTCTCAACTGAAAGCTGCTCCAGGCCGGGAGCAGGTGGCTCATGCTTGTAATCCTAGCTACTTCGGAGGCAAGATTGGGAGTATCGCAGTTTAAGGCCAGCCTGGGCAAATAGTTTGCAAGATCCCATCCCCTAAATAATCAGAACAAAATGGACTGGAGGCATGGGTCAAACAGTAGAGCATCTGCTTTGCAAGGCAAAGCTCAGAGTTCAAACCCAAGTCCTACCACCATAAGAAGGGGACTAAGGTAGAAAGGAGAAAAACAGAGGGGATGATCTATACTACATATATACATGGAAGTGTCACAGTGAAACAGTCTGTATAGCTATCTTAAACAAACAAAAAATGTCTTATTTTTTTTTCAAAAACAGAGAGTAGGAAGGTAAAACAGGTCCTCTCTGGGGGGTTGGAACCAGTGGGAGGGGGGAGAATATAAGGAAAGGATGTATAAGGGTGAATGTGGTGGAAATCTTATGTATCATGAGTGACAATAGAAAAATGAGACCTGTTGAAACTATTCCAGGAATGGGGGGAGGACGGATAAAAGAGAATGATGGAGGGGGTGGATTTAGCTATGATATAGTGCAAGAACTTTTGTAAATGTCACAATGAACCCCCAGTACAACAATAATATGATAATAAAAAATAAAATAAATTAAAAAAATAGAGAAAACTGCTACTCAAAGATATGGATAATAAATATTAATAACTAATAAAAGTTGTCTTAGAACTATGTTCTTATTTAATCCTAGTGATAACCTTTGCAGTGGCAGGGTTAGATTTTCTCTCCCTTGGAGCAGAACTTGAGGTCCAGAGAGGAGACATTTCCTCTATAAGACAACTCAGCCAGCTGGGGACAAGTATGGGCGATAGCATGAGTCCCCTGCCTCCTTGTTGGGCTTGTACCTCAGTGTTCTGCACAGCCTCCCCCAGAGAGCACCAGTACCTCCTTTATTCCCATATCCCTACCAGAATGAGCAGAGACCATCAATATAGACCATGGGATGCTACTTTTCCAACTGCACCTCCTCTCAGATTCCTTCCTCTGCACACCTTCCTGCAAGTTCTCTGGATTGCACCATCCCCAAGACTCCTGCAGGATGTAAAAGTGCTAGGAAGTTTTAACTACACATGATGGCATTGTCTCCTCCAGTTGACTTGTCCTCTTCCTTCATAGCATATTCCATTAATAAATTCATTAATTGATGGAATCTTTTAATCTACTAGCTTGAGAGAGGACCAATCGATCATGCCACAGGCCCTGTCCTAGGTGCTGGAGATAAAAAGTTGCCTGGGTCATGTACAACCCTGTATCACCAGAACAACTCCAACTGGGCTTCACAGTAATAAATAGAAACTCCAGGTGACATCTCTCCACATTCAAAATCATGAGATCTTGCTCCCACTGGAGCTCTGGTGTGGGATATTGAGCATGACTCACCTCTGTTCCTCTCTCTAGGTGTCATCATCATGTTGACGCTGTGTGACCAGGTGGATATTTATGAGTTCCTCCCATCCAAGCGCAAGACCGATGTGTGCTACTACTACCAAAAGTACTTTGACAGCGCTTGCACGATGGGTGCCTACCACCCACTCCTCTTTGAGAAGAATATGGTGAAGCACCTCAATGAAGGCACAGATGAGGACATTTACCACCTTGGAAAAGCCACACTGTCCGGCTTTAGGACCATTCACTGCTGAATGTAGGCCCTTATTCTCTATCAGGCATTTTATGGCTGGCCTCCCTGGGAAGACCATTTTCCTGAAAAATCTCAGGCTGCTCCTTGCACTCTACGGGCTTTTGTCAGCAAGAGCTCTGGGACTTCTGGAGCCTGAAGGCAAGAAACCAAGCCCCAGCCTTCCCTATAGCCACAAAGAATGTGTGAGCCCAGATCTTTCCCACACATGAATATATACACCTAACATTCTCTCTAGACCGCATCTTTCCCTTTTTTCCACATAGGTAGATGCAAGATCTATCTTTCCCACAGGGCTGCCAAAGCTGGGCTTTATTTTTTTTCCAACTGAATGATATCATTCTCACAAACCAACGCTCTATATGTTGCTTAAAATCTTGACCTAAGTATTGATTTCATGTTTTAAAGAAATTTTTCCAAATCATGATTGTGCCAGGTGTAGGGTGGCTGGGGGTAAGAGTCAGGGGGGAAATAATTAGTATGAGGCATTAGAATTATGGTTAATCCCTCCAGAGCAAAGTTGCTCTGTTCTAAGGATATGGTTGCCATTACTCAGGCTAGTTGGGTAGTCCTTAGCCTGGGTGCTTAGGAGCAAAGGGTCTTGATTAGCCCACTTGTATCTCCAGGTGAAGAAAGGCACAGTCCCTGTCCTCAAGTTGCTCACAGTTTAGTGGAAGAGAGAGACATCCAGCATGAGCTAACATTCAACGTGCTTCATGCACAGAGCTACAGAGAGAGGGGCCTGCTGTCTGTGTACCCAGAAGGGGCCAACTCTACTGTGTGGATCATAGAGTTGAGGCATTGGGGTAGAACAATGAGAAGCATGTCAAGTAGATTTTATCTGAGTCATTTGAGTTGTGTTTTCCTTTATCACCAATATTTTATTTCCTAAAACCTGTCTGAACATAGAGACTCAAGATATTTTTTGAGGAAGCTCCCTACCCATGTTGGCACCAAATACAGTCCTACAGCAGATATCATGCAAGCTATATCCCCCAGACCTTGATTTCTGCAGGTTCAGCTTGGCCTGCCCTCTCCTGCCAGCTGGGTTTGCAAACTGTCCTCCATCTCTTCATTTTTAATGCCCACCCCCCACACTTACTTCTATTGCTACCTTTTTTTTCTTCCTTTAGAGTGCTCCTTCCCCTTTCTAATTACTTTTCATCATTTTCTGCTTTAAAAGTACCCTTACCACAATTTCTTTGACCTCATGAGCCTTTCCTGAAAGGTCTCTCAGGAAGTAATGGTCTGGTTTTCTAGGACTTAGGTTAGATACTCTTAGAAGTTAAAACCCTAATCATAATTGATCCTTACAAGGGTTGAGGTATGTGACATGACATCAGATTGTCATGCCCTTCACCCACTCCCTGCAAGGGAGCAACAACAAAGTCTCTGGGTGGAGGCTGCCCATTGTGATTTGCAAACAAGTTCCCCAGATGTTTTGGCTAAGCCCCCTCCTCCTTGTGTGGAACCACATGGGCCCATCCAGTCCCTGGTGTGGAATAGTTAAGTCACTTCTTTAAGCACAAAATAATGCTGTAGAATCAGATCTTCTAGACCCAGGCATCTGGGCTCCCAGGGCTGACCCCACATGCTCAAAAGGCTCCAATGTTTGAGTTCCAGGCCAACCATCTTGAGCTAGTCTGTCCACTTACTGCCAACCCCTTGGCTTATGGAGGCAGTAGAAAGAGCCCTGGAGTGAGAAGCCCTGGGTTTTCTGTTTGATGCTCCCTGCTTACTTGCTGTGCCACTTTGGGCAAATTCTCTTCCCTGAGCCTCTGTTGTTTCTACATCTGCAAAATGGGGGTGATAATCCTACCTCACAGGGCTGTTGTGAGAATTACAGGAAAACACCTGTCCTGGCTGTATACCTGACCCATAGGAGCCCAGTACATGCTGATTTCCTTCCTCCCTTTTATGAAGGGCCTTCTTTGTGATCACACTGGGACTGAACCTTGCTGTGAGGAGGGACGGTTAGGAGGGGATCAGGGGCTTCTCTCCTCAGGGAATTAACTATTCTATTGGGAGACAACTACTCAACTTGAAACACCCAGGAAACTATTGAGTCAGTGATGTAGAACATGTGTATCTTTCTCCTTGCCTGTAGCTCAGGTCTGATTCTTCTTGGGATGGGTAGAACACTTGGGCTGCTAACTACTGTATAGGCTGAGTCTTTACTCTCTCTGGGCCGGTGAATTTTTTGCCATGCTCTATGTTCTGATTTGACATGCTCATGGAATGTCTGGAAGGTGACATTCTGTCAGCAGGAGGTAACATGTTGTGTGGAGACTGAGATTACACTGGATAGAATCTAGTTTTTAATTATTAGTAATTTAATAGATTAAGTTAAGTATGATTCTGAAGTCTGCAGGACTTTGAATTCTGTGTTCTGTAAATGTGCAAATTTTGGTAAAAATCCAAGAAAGATGGGGTGTTGTTGGTCTGGTGACATATTTAATATTTGTGACAGATAATTTAAAACTTGTCAGAATGCTGCAAGAAAGCCTCTGTCTACATGGTGTTCTGTCTTCAGCCATCTATTCTTTCTATATCATGAGATCCTTCTGAATCCTTTTACCAATTAAATAAGCTAATGCTCTTGGTTTGGAGCTGAGACATTAGTCTCAGAAACTTGTGAAACATGCCTAAGCTAATTCTGAATTACCCAAAGATTATGTAAAATTTTAAAATAAAGGTGTTTTTAAAAAAAAAAAAAAAAAGGTTCCTTCCTCCTTTTACACCTGCTAAGAGAATGATTGTTAATTACTGACTTCCATGTCAGATGAGGACACAGCTGGGATCCAGAGTCCCCAGGCTTCCCCCCACTAGCTCTCTGGCTCTAGCCTTCCTCTTCAGTACTCCAGGAGAAGGGTTTGCTTATTTATTTGGAAAGATAGCATCTTTGAATATTGACTGGTTTTTTGATTTTTCTTCTTTTGCTCTTGCCTGGATTCAGATAACTAAGCTATTGTTCACCTCACATCTCAGAGATGTGATAGGGCAGAAAGCAGAATGAAAGTTTAAGCTTTCCTCAACTTGTGAGTTCTTAAAGAAACTGTACTGAGAACATAGCAAACTGTTTGGATAAAAGTCTTGAAGAAGAGCAGGATTTAGGGGAGAAAAGATGATTTTTACCCCTCAACTGCCGACTCCCTAGATAGGTTGAGGGTGTCTCCCCAAGTTCATATGTTGAAGTCTTAACCCTCAGTACCTCAGAGTGTGTCTTCATTTGGAAATAAGGTCATTAAAGATGTAATTAGTTAAGATGAAATCATATTGGGGTAGGATGAGCCCCTACTCAGAAAGGGCAAATTTGGAGACAGAGAGAGAGAGAGAAGAGAGGAGAGAGGACAACTTGTGATAATGGAGGCTGAGATCAGGGTGTTGTATAAGCCAAGGAATGCCAAAAATTGCCAGAAAACCACTGAAATTAGGAGAAAGGCATGGAATAGTCCCTCCCTTCCAGCTTGCAAAGAGAAGTAACCCTGTTGATACTTTGATTTCAGAGTTCTGCCTTCCAGAATTGTGAGAGAATACATTTCTATTTAAACCACACAGTAGAGTACTTTACAGTTTGCAGTCCTAGAAAACCAACTGAATGCCTCCTCCCATCACTCCATTCATCTTCATCTTTGCAATTCCCCAACTGGGGCCTGAATGAACAGTGGTGTGAACATGCCTATCAAGAGGCATGGATGGAGGGTCTGGTGCCCTGCTTCCCAAACAAAGCTCTGGGGAATTGCAAGTCCTTAGATGCTTCATGGGTCCTGTAATCTAGGCAGATGGAAACTTAACAGCCTCTTCCTGATGGGATCAGGAAGAAGGGTTACCTGAGCCTTGGCAAGTGACCAGAGAACACTGAAGAGCATATCCTGGATCCCTGCACCTTATCCCTTAGCATTGTAAGCTGCTCATGTATCTCCATACTGACTGAGACTGAGTTTCTATCTGGATCCTGGTAGAATGGGGAACTCAAAGTAGAAGGTACAGAAAAAATTTTTCCATTAGTTTAGGCAGGCACCAAGGTTTATGTTTTCCAAATTCACTGTGGTCTGAAGTCTCTCTAAGATCGTTCTAGCTGGTGAACTGGGTGGACTGGGTTCCTCCATACAGGTCTGAAGATTTGTATCCCTTGGCTGCCACTCTGATATCTGCTTCTTCTCTTAAGATATGGGGATTGGGAAGTGAAAAAATGGGGCCCTGGCCCTGGCCTCTTGAGAAGAGAAAGAAGGCCAAAAAGGGAAAGAGAGAGCCCCACCTGCAACCGCTATGCCCTACTCCCACCAATAGGGTTCTCACTGACAGAGCCTAACTCTCAGTGTTTCAAAGACTATTCTAGATGTTATTTCACACCCTGGCAGCACACTGAACCCACACCATTGTCTATCCTCTAGAGCCACCAGCAGAGCCAGGTGAGAAGAGCATGCAAGAACCTGGGGACTGCCACCTCCACCTTAGATCCAACTTCTTGTTCTCCAGGGGGCCTTGGTTTCTACTTCTCTTGTAGCCCTCAGGACAGCCTTCTAGGCTCTGTTGTGATGAGGTAAGGAGTGCATTACAGCTTTAGGGCAGCTTTCCATTCTCTATCATGAACATTCTAACACAAAAAATTGATCTCTTAGAGCTGTGATGATAGGTGGCATCAGCTCAGGAGAGAGGAAAAGGCCTTACTGTTAGCCACCAAACCCCCCACTGGTCACACTATTGCCCCCGTGCAGTCCTTTGCAGAATTAACTGGAAAATAAGAAATTCTCTTCCATCCAGTGCATACACCTTGTGCGTGTGCTATTCACCTAGTACTGGGAGACAACAATGAAGGCTCACAACATTTGGTCTCCATAGGGAAAACATAATCATACATAAAACTGTAAGGGTGATATGTGAAAACAGTTTTCTTGCTACTGTGAGGGTTAAAAAGACAAAACTTTAAAAAAACAAAACAAAACACTAGTTAAAACTGGGGATACAAATTACAAAAAAACGGTAAAATTTGACATCAAAAGCCTAAAAGTAGAGGGGGGAGGGAAAGTGTAGTTTTTGTTTGTGGTAGTTAAGTTGTTTAAAATTCCCTGTTTGACATCTAGGAGATTTTTTTTATAAGCCTTGGGGTAACTATAAAGCAAAAACCTATGAACAATGCACAAAATATGAAAAGAAAGCCTTCAAGCATAGCACCACAGAAGACACCAAACCCTAAAGGAAGGCAGCAAGAGAGGAAGAAACAAGCTTAAAACTACCAGAAAACAAATTATAAACAGAAGTAGGAAGTCCTCACATATTATCAGAAATCATTTTAAATGTAACTTTATTAAATTCTAAAATAAAAAGACATAAAGCAGCAAAATGGATTAAAAAACAAACAAACAAGAGTCAGCCAATATGGTGACAAGTGCTTGTAACCACAGCACTCAGGAAGATGAAGCAGGAGGATCTGGAGTTTGAGGCCAGCCTGAGTAATATAGTGAGACCTTGTTGCAAAAACAAATAAGATCCAACCATATGCTTCCTACAAGAGACTCATTTCTTAGTCTCTTCAAACTGAAGAGACAGACTGAAATGAAAGTGAAGGAATAGAAAAGGTTGTTCTATGCAAATGAAAATACAAAGATATTAGGGACAGCCATAGTCATATCAGATAAAATTGACTTTATGTCAAAAACTATAAAAATGGATAAAGAAGGACATTATACCCAACTTTGGAGCACCTTAATAAATAAAGCATTTATTAAATGACCTGAAAGGAGAGACAGAAAGTAATACAACAATAGTAAGGGACTCTAGGCTCTACTTTCAACAATGGACACACCATCTAGACAGAAAATCATTAAGGGAGCTCTGGACTTGAATTACACTTTAGATCAAATGGACCTAACAGACATATACAAAACATTCCATCCAACAGAAACAGAATTCACATTCTTCTTGAGCTCACATGGAACAGTCTCCAGGATAGGTAAAATGTTAGGCTACAAACAAGTCTTAACAAATTTAAGAGAATTGAAATCATACGAACTATCTTTTCCTATCACAATATGATGACATTAAAAACTAGTAATTGAAGAAATCTTGGAAAAATCACAAATGTGTGGAAATTAAGCAAGATATTCCTTAATAACCAATGAGTCACAGAAAAAATAAAACATCAAATAAAAGAATACCTTGAGCTAAACAAAACTTATGGTATGCTCCATAAGTTATTCTGGGCTCCAAGGCTGAGCAAGGTTCTGGGATCACTACTTACCATGACTCGGGGTGTGTGGAGCCAGAGGCTGTGCTTTACATACATGCATGGCATTGGGCTTTCCTTGCATTCTAGGGGGGCTTAAGCAGTGCATCAAGTATTGGTGTACTGGTTGGTTGGCCACTGGGTCTGTGTAGGACCAGATTCTCTCCCCATGGTTAACTGCTTCTCTGCTCTTGCTTTCCCACCTCTGGGAATGTTAAGGAGTACACCAGGGTTTGGCTGGATTAAAGCTTGGCAGCTGGGATTAGCAGAGCCAGATGCTCCCTTTGTAGATAATGGCTCTTCTGGCTCTTCTCCCAGCTTGGAGAAGTTTCAGGGTGAGCACTGGGGCTAGGTGTGGAAGCCATAGAAGTATTTGAACTTGGGAGAACCACTGATGGTGCTTTCTACAGAGTGATGCTGTGGGCTAGTTTCTCTGGTGTTGTGTCTCTGCTAGTCTGAATGCTGAGCAACTGCCAGTATCCACATGCTTGTCACTGTGAGCCCACTCCTGTTTTTTGCCTCCATCTGAGCCCAGGTGGTTCAGTTGGGTAGTACTCCAATGCTTCTCATTAGGCAAGATCAGAGCATACCACCTGTTAGAGGTCCCAGAATGGTGGAGAAGATGAATGTTTGCCTCCAACTCCCGCTGTATCACAGGTCTCCTCTGTGTGTGGCACTGTGCCAGCGTGGAAGGGGGACAATATGGTCCAAGTAAAACTGTTGCTCTTACACAGTTTTATGGCCCAAGGGGGTGTCTCAGCCCCACTTTTGAGTTCCAGATATTATCTTCTCAAGTACTTTCTTACTTCCCCCACTTTCCTCTCCCTTGTGGAATCTAATAACACAAATGTTAGGTTGCTCAGTGCTGTCCCATAGCTCACAGACCCCTTTTCCATTTAAAAAAGAATTATCTTTTTTCTGTTTCATTTTGAGTAGTTTCTAATGTTGGTGTCACTAATCTTTTCTTCTTCAATGTCGAATCTGCCATTAATCCCATCTAGTGCATTTGTTCATCTGAGCAATTGAAGATTTCATCTTTTTGAATGCTACTCAAATATATAAAATACAGTTTGAATCACTGTTTTAACGTCCCTTGAGTAGTAATTTTAGCTAGTGTGCTGTCTCTGAGTCTGTTTTATCTGATTTTCATCTTCATCATGAGAAGTATTTTCCTGCTTTAATTTTTTGATTGTATGCCAGATATCATAGGTATTTTCTTTTGGTGTGCTAGATATTTTTGTATTCTGATAAATATCTTGGGCTTTGTTCTAGGATGCAAACAACCTTTCTGGCAACCATTTGTTGTTTTTCCGCACTGCTTCTAAGTTTGTTTATTTCCTGTTTCTCAGGGATCAATATTAATTACCTGATTTTTGAAGCCTTGAAAGCTGTTGTTTCATGTTTTTTTTTTCTGGTTCTTTAGTTGTTTCATGCAGGTAAGTAAACCAGTCCCTTTTTCTCCATCTT